AAAACAGGACATCGCCTGCCACTTGAGGAGCAACATCGGGAGGAGGGGTATCCCAGTGAGCAATGGAATGGGTCGGGAGGTAACCCGCACCCCTATAGTGCGAGGTGAAACACGGTTGAGCAGTCAGCCCTGCAAGCAGCAGCACATAACTGGCAAGACCCTTACACGGTCACCCTTTGCAGACGTCCGTGTGCCCAGAGTCCTAGGTCAGGCCTTGGTAGGAGACCTCAGGGCGGACCTTCGGAGTTCTGCGAAGGGTCCTGGAGCAGCCCCCACATATGTATCCCTCCACAGACATCGGCGAGGACCTGAAGCAGACCCGCCTGGGAAGGACTCCTCCCTCAGCCCCAGCCTCGGTGAGCTCCAGGGTGGGTCCTGGAAGCAGACCCACCATAGTAGGCCCTGACAAGTCTTAGTGAACTCTAAGATAGGAGTCTGGAGTTGCAGTGAGCCCCAGGAGAGTTCTGGAAACACCATTCACCATGATGCACCTCAACAGACCTCGACAAGCCCCAAAATAGGACCAGGAAGTAGGCCCACTGCTTAGCCCCCCACGTACACCAGGGTACCACAAGGAAGGTCCTGGAAACAACCCAGACCCACGTACTGGCAAAGGGAACAGATGTGACAGGACTGGGTAGAGGCAACGACCTGGTCTGTATAGGCTGTGGTTCTTGGAGCAGGAAGCCAGAGGACACTGTTAGGACAGGTGGTCTCCCAGATGAGAGTGGGATTAATTATCCCTTGATCAGTACAAACCACAACAGACTACAAAAGGTTGCCACTGAGGAGAGGCGTTACATTGAACAGGTGGTGAGTGGAGAGAGGATCCTGCTGGTAGTACCCTGGAGGAGGGAACAACCCTGGTAGGGCCATCAGTTTAGCCAGAGTTCCAAGGGAGAGGGGGCTGTGTGGAGCCACACTCCTTTGAAAGGGGGGAAGGGAACCTTGTGGAGGCGCTAGGGTGCTCCATACAGGCTAGTTCCCTAGCAAAGATGGAAGCAGATAGCAATACAGGCCCATAAAAAGCGTTCAAATAAATAATTTAACATTACACCTATACCTAGAAACTAGAAAGAGAAAACCAGATGAAACAGTCGGTTGATTAAGAATGTGTGTTTTAGGGTATTTCCACCTAGGAGTGGTTCTTGTTCTGGATGATTTAGCCCCACTGAGGCTGGAAAAACCCTGCATGACCAGGACAGTCCCTCACAAGAAGGAATTATCTAGTCCCCATGATGTTGAGCACTTCCATACACTTATTGGCCATTTATACATCTTCTCTGGGGGAAAAAAAAAATGCCCATTTGAGTTCTTAGCCCATTTTTAATTGGGTCATTTTGTTTTATTATTGAATTCTATGAATTCTTTATATATTCTGACTATCAGTTATTTATCCAATATAAGTTTTTTTGCAAATATTATTTCCTATTCCATAGGTTGCCTTTTCACTCTGTTGATGATCATGCTTGTTCCTAAATTAAACACTAGAAAGGGGGATGAGATTCCTAGGCTTGGCAAATAAATATGGTCTGGGGAGAATGGCTGTTGGAGTATCACATACACAACAATAGGATCCATCAACCTCCATTTCATAGGTTTCCTTAATTTTAAATTGTGAGAAGAGTTTGTTAAAGATATTATTGAAGGTTATTAAATCATTTAACCTCTTAAAGTTTTATCTGTAAAATCAAAGAGTTGTTTTGTAATTCCAAACTAAATTATATTATTTTAAGGGATGGTTTATGAGTGTTTCAAATATGTGGTATATAATTGCTAGGTAAGGTGTGGTCAGGTATGAATATATTTGGATGTAATTTTATAGGTGTAGGTGATGTGCATAAGCAAGGGTATGTGTGTGCACAGATGTGGGATTATAGGGAAGGGTGGGTGTGAAGGACAAGGTTTGCTGTGGAAGTGGTATAGGGTTGTAAGTGGTACAGGTGTGGGTAAGTAAGAATGGATGTGTGTGTGGTGTAAGTTCAGGATTACAGGTAAGAGTGGGTATGAGTTGATAAGGGCAGAGCTTGGGAGTCTCTAGGAGTGTGTGTGTGTGTGTGTGTGTATGTGTGTGCGTGCACATGTATAGAATTATAAAGGCCTAGTAGGCAAAGGACAGGATAAATCTCTTCATCAAAATCACCTCTACATTTTACTGACTGACATTTTGTATTTGTAGGATATTAGCCCATTAAGAATATTGCCAATAATTTTTCTAGTTTGTTTTTTCATTTTATTTATCATCGGGTTTTGTTAGTGTAACAAAGCCTTTTCCTAATCAGAGGGAAAAAAACAAACTTTATAAATTTTGTGGGCATAAAAGATATGTATGTGTTATCTGTGTGCTACAAGAAGGCCTGTGTGCTCTTTCCGCTGGGTCACTGTCAGGCACAGCAGCTGCACAGTCCTGGCATAAGATTCTCAACTCAAACAGTGCTAATTGGAGTCAGCTTTTAAAAGTGGGAAACCACCTTGCCCACACGCTAAGAATATGTCTGATAACAATCTTGTACATGTGTAAACAGATATTTTCTTTCCATTAGCTGTGGCCTTTTGAAGTGAGCAAAGTTGCCTGTGGTTTAACTGTCCCTATTTTAATCTTATGACACCCTTGCCACCACTTGTACAGCCCCAGCCAGCAGGGGCCAGTTGACTTTGCGCATTTTCCACGAAGCAACCGCATTTGATAGAGCACATCAATAAAAGAAGCCTGAGAAAATAAACCACCACCAGCCACACCAGCGCCCCCTACCACCCACCCTACCTCCTCCCCCACCAACGCAGCCACTCATCCTTGCTGCAACACGGGGCTCAAGGGAACCCAGGTCGAGTTGAGGGAGGAAGCTCTGAGAGGTTTGAAACCAAGGGCCGTACTACCAAGTGGGGCCCCAGCAAAACTTTCAGTTAATTGCAAGTCTCCCTTTTTTGCTTCTAAGCTTTCCCAGTGCAAAATAATTTCAAATCTCTGTAGGTCAAGTATTTGACCTAAAGAAGCCTGATTAAATCCATGAAAATCTAGGAATAGATCCAATTAAATTTCATTTTTCTTATATCTGGTAGGTCTTATTTTGTTTCCAAGTCAGAACATTTATTTGTTTTTTTAAAGAAGCTGTTTAAAAGAACCAAAACTGATAGTAAGCAAACCAAAAAACTTTACCAATTTTAAATCAGACATTGCTTTCATTTCATTATGAGTTTTTGCTTTGAAAGAATTCATTATAGAAAAAGAAAAATATATAGTCCCTTATTTTTTCACCTAAAATAAATATTCTGCCTATGCCCTCAAAATACATAAATAGGTACCATGCTTTTTAGTATGTCTACTCAATAGAAAAAAATGATCAAAGGACATTAACAAATATTTCACAGAAAAACAAATATAAGTAGGCCTTAAAAATATGAGAAGATGCTGATCCTCACTCATAGTAGGAGAAAAGCAAATTAAAACTATGATGAGTTATTCTTTCCAACTATCAGATTAGCAAAAGGCAGACATTTGACAGCAAACTCTTCTATATTGTGGTAGAAATGCTCTGCCTAGGCAAATTGGTAACGCCTATCCAAGTGATCCATACCCACATTCAAAATGGCATAAGACAGTATTATTATTTCAACAGTTTTATAACAGCAAAAATTGGAAACAAGCAGTGGTTTATCACAGCGAACTGATTGTTCAAAGTATTGTACACTCTTTCACCAGTGAAATGCCATGCTTTCCAAGAGGCCCAATATTCTAATATAAAAAGAGCGCTAGAATAGTTAAGTGAGAAGTACAGAATTAGATACAATGCATTCTCACTTAGCATCTTTGCTAAATTCTTGGAAACTGCAACATTCAATGAAACAATGTAGGAATGAAACCAGTGTTAGCACAGTTTAATTGACATAAACAAAATTTAAGTTGTGGAACATTTTTTCGTCATAAAAACATTATCATACTTCTAAAGAAAGACCTAAAACAGGGCCTCCCTGGTGACCTAGGGATTCAGTCTCAGTACTATCACCAATATGGCCTGAGTTCGATCCCTGGTAAGGGAACAGACCCATGTATGATGCCGCAGACCTCTCCTGTCTCAGCTGCAGGTCCCCTCAGTTCTTCCATGTAAACATAAATTAAAAAAAAAAATTAAGACCCAAAATACTTGTAATATTAAATCATAATTTGTATTCATTCATTTATTTTCTAATCCACTCATTCCAGTTTCGGGTCAGGGTGTTCAAAATCCAATTGGCAGCTCAGGACTCAAGGCGGGGATCCACCCTGGGCGGGATGCCCTTCCACCACAGGGCACATCACACACACATCACACTCGCCAACACTGGGATAATTCAGACACAATGGTTTCCTTATTGCACGCATCTTTGGGATGTGGGAGGGAACTAGAGCACCTGGGGAAAGCCCATGCAAAAGTGCAAACTTCACACAGTGGACCTGTGGGAATCACCATTATTTTTATCAGTTTTATTTGGCATCATTTAATGAAACCATGTTATTCAAGGACCTGCTGTAAATTGTACACCACCTTTGGTAAGAAGGGTGGAAATCAGAATGTGTGTACATGCATATTTAAATATATATGTTCATATTTGTGTAAATAAAAACTGGATGCCGAAGAAGCGAAAGTAACCTGTAAGAGGTTAAGAGAAGTAGAAAGAGTAGTTGAGGCTCGATCTCTTAGAGCATTTTGCAGATTATTTTAATTTTTGTTATTTTAATTTTTGAACCATGTGAACATATTATCTAACAACTTCAGTAGGTTATGCTATGCTTATTTTTCAACAACACTTGCTGATTAATTTTCCATTTCGTTAAGCATAAGATGTTTATCTTCAAAAAAGATGTATATCTTTTTAAAAGGCTTTTATAGAATACCTTTTATTTTATTTTATTTTTAGTTTCTTATAGGGCATTTGAGTTAATTTGGGGCTGCTATAAATGGTGAAAGACTATTATCTATCATACACAAAAATCTTATTATATAACCTTTCATATATTTCAGAAATCAGTTGGTCAGATGTCAGGAACACGGTCAAAGGGAAGCCTGTGCTGCACTTGAAAGGAGTTAATGAAGGATTCTGGCTGCCTGGGGTCTGCACCACAGCCCTGGAGCTAAGAGCTTCTTCAGGGGCTTGCTGGCCTCCAGCCTGGCTGCACATTAACATTGCTGAAGGAGGGATTATGGAGACCACCCCTGAGGAGAGAAAACCTATACTGTGAAAAAAACAAATAAGGATATAAAATAATGGTATGTCTTTAAGAAAAAAACAATCATCCTTTCTCAAAATAAATACATGAGGTATCAGTCCTGATACCTGCTCTTCTATAGTCTGCCCCCCAACAGCCACCAGTCTGTGTCCTGGAGAGAGCAGCAGCTGTGTCAGGCAGAACTGGAATCATGGACTGAGCTCTGCTCTGTGTTTGATCCGAGCGTTGTTTTAGCCTCCGTGGGCACTAGCTCTGTCACCAGTGAAATGACGAGAGACCTGTACTGGGGGCAGTTCACAACCTCAGGCCTGAAGATGAACCTGCCAGGCAGAAGCCTGGTGCCCACAAAGGGTGGGTGCTGCTTTCAAACACACCCGAATAAAGCTGCATCCGATAACCTCGCAGGATACGACAGAGACCATGCACTCACTCAGACCCGCTTTCACCGTGATGAAAATGTTGACTTACTAGGCGTGTGACTGAATTTTATCATCTTGGTGTGGTATCTCTGGGCATCTCTTATATTTCTCATTGGCAAGTAGATAGGACTTTGCTTAATATAAACATTAATGTAATGTACATTAATGTAATCAAATATCACATGAGTGTGGCCTGCTGCTGGTTAGATGGAAGCCTTCAAAAAATGAAGTTTATGAAGAAAATGCTCCAAAACACTAGCGAAAATGTTTAGTGGGGAAATTTTGAGTATTGTTGCCCTGATGGTTCCCTTTTTTTAGTTTAGATATGTGCGGAGGACTCTAGCTCTGTGAGAACTGAGAGATGCGAGGGTTTGTGTGGAATGTGTCAGTCTTTGCCTGATCTTTCTTTTGCTCATCTGTGCATATAGCATTTTTCCCTGGCATTTATTTTATCCAACCAAGTGCCATGGACTATAAACACAGAAATCTTACAAGTGGACAGAAGTCAGTGTATAAAAGTCTTTCCAGAGTGAAATATTGTGTGTCAGGTTGATCTATGACCCTCTACTTATAGGAACAGCAAAGGAACAAGGAGAGGAAATGTGGAAGGTAAAAAGGCAATTCTCTTTACTAGATCTTAACCTATGAAGGAAGAAATTTTTCCTGTATTAATTGAGACTAAAGGTAACCTGTTTCTACTCTAGTTGAAACTAACTTGGAAGTTAAGAGCAGGGGCTCCTGAGCCAGGCTGCTTAGATTCAAATCCCAATGTGTTGCTTATTAGCTGCCTAATATTAGGGACATTCTTTAGCCACTCTGCCTCATTTTCTCAATTATAGAACAGAGATAATTGAGCATATCTCTTGAGACTCTTGTGAGAATAATTAGCATGTACTTAGACTAGTGCTCAGTACTTAGGAAATACTGCAGTGTTTGCATTCATTAGAAGGTTAAACACTGATTCCAAAATTACACTATTAATCTGAATGTATTTAAATTAAACACTTCTTTCCAAACTTAGGTAATGTGACATGGTTAAGAACAAATGACACAGTTAAAGTACAGCCAAGTGGCATCTTCCTCTGGTAGGAAGTGCTGGGTAAAGAGTTATTTAACCTTTCCCCTACCTCACAAGTGTACCTGGACATGCCACGGTCTCCCAGAAGGGATTCTGAGGACACCAGAGCTCATTCAGTCTATGGAAAGAGCTGGGGTGTCAGTGGGGTACAGTGCTTCTTCAACCATCCTGTTATACTTGAGACTGAATCATTTCTTCAGAAACTCCCAAAAGAGCAGTTGTACGTGGAGGACACACACTACAGAATCAGGTGGGCTTCTCATATCATTGGTAACAAGGGAGACAATCCTGTTAGTGCCAGAGTGTGTATATCAGGAGAAAATAGTGCACCCCAAAGTCCTATTCCACAGCATAGGAGTGGGAGAGGAGCACGACCTCCGTGGAGGATGTCTTTAGTAAAAACAAAAACAATGCTTGTTTTGTCTTTCCCAGTGTAAGGAATGAATGGGAAGTCACACTATTATATTAGATGGTTATAAATTACAGATGCGATCAAAAAGACTTGGCTTTAAATTATGACTATTACTTGCAAAGTTGTGATCAGGAACAGATTACTTATCTCTCCCGTTTATCAACTATGCATTAAAACTTGTACGTACCTCAAAGGTTTCAGAGTAATAATGTGGTTGATGGTTGTAACAGAAATTTACTGAGGGCCTGTTCAATCCACATCTAACTTCCCAGCAGGGAAATACAATTAAAAATGATTGTCAGCGCTGTTGTGTTGGTATCTGCTACCTTCAAAGTAGAGCTACCTATAATAGACACAAAATGCTGTAAGTGATTGCATGTACGAGGCATTAACTCATCTCATCCATACAACCTCAGGAGTTGACTTTACAGATGAGGTAATTATGGCACTGAGGTCAAGTAGCATGCTGGAGTATTCACAAATATTAATACCAAAGTCAGGATTCTGAGGACAACATATTCAGAGTCTGAGTGCTTAACCCTCCACAGTGCTGCTGACTAGTGTCTGTGCAGCTCTCACAAAGGTGCGCTGAGGAGCAAAAGCATGGTGCACATAACACACAAGTAGAAGCTAAGCACCCAGTGCAGGTCATGGTCCAGTTTATAAAGAAAGTCTCCATGGGTTGTCCCAAACCAAATGACTCTGAATCTGGTGACCTTTAAAAGACAAATAATCTTAATACCTTCTAGATTGTACCACTGATCCAATTTCAAAAAAAAAAAAAATCAAAACCACTATTGGTATGAAAGAATTTGAATGTGGTGTTGACCATATTGCAGCAAATGCTGACCACTATTGTAGCAGGTTTTCATTGTTTCTTGCTTTGTACTCTCAATTAAATTTCATCAAATTAAAGTACACATAGACGAAAGTGGACTTTTAATTTTTTTTATTTGTTTTGTCTTTTATGCAAAACAAAATAATACAGGATTCAAATAGCAAAGATGGTGAGTTCAGGATATATAAAATGAAAAACTTCAAGGCAATTATCTGGTGAAAGGGTACTCGGGAGTGTGGCTGGAAGCTGCGTGCTGTCTGTGCTCAGAGGGCCCGATAATTGGGTCAACAGGAGCAGTTTGAGGAGATTATGGACATAGTGGTACTAGACACCATCCCCTTGGGATACTCCTTGGCCCTGCCCCTGACTAATGGCAGAATTTGTTGTTACAGAGTAAAGTTTTCTGTTTCCCCAGTTTTTGAAAATCCATTACACAATAATAATATAATAGAAAAATGCACATGAAAACTAAAGTAACCCAAATCCAGGAAAACAAAAGAAAAACAGGTAGAGCCTCAGCAGAGACTTTTAGGAGCAACAAATGATAACAGAACTTGACCGCTTTGTACCACCTTCTGTTAGAGACAGTTTCCATTGCCACAGTCTTCTGTTCTCTTGAACACACTGAAGATGATGATGGCAAAGTAGACCACGCTCTTGATAAGGAGGAAGATGTAGGTATAATAAGCAGAGGTATGGGCGACCTGCAGCTGCAGTGTACCTAAGAAAAGTCCTTTGATTAGTTTCTTTTTTAACAATAGGACAATGGGGGTGGGGTCACAATTATATATTTCTGATAGCTAACATCAAAGTGACTTCCCCATACCACCAAAACCCAGAGTAAACATCAACAACCAACATGACCACAAAGAGCGAGAGCAACAGCAACAGAATCCAGTACCAGTTCAAGTCAAGCAAGAAACTGCTACATTCATGTAGAACATTCCAAAACATTAAGCAGTTGTATTTGTAATGCATGAGTTTAAAGAGAAAATAATCGTCATGTATAACTTTTAGTATTTCTTCACCCAGATCATTTCTTTAAGTAATAATAAGAGCTAACAATCTTTATCTACTAACCAAATGCCAAACACTTATTCTAGAGCATTGCATACAAATATTTAATTTAGATTTTACGATAACCTATGTCATTATTATCTTCATTCCTATCTGCAAATGAGATCGTCAGAGAGGGAAGTAATTTGCATGATGTGGTACATTTAGTAAGTACCAGAAACCAGATTTCAACTTCAGCAACATAACTTTAAAAAATACATTCTTTGCTACTTTGTAGCCATCTCCAAGTGTAATATATATCCAGATGTCAAAAATGGCACAAACATAAAATTGAATTGCTGATTTAGAAGTATGTGAGTCATTTTGCATGCAATGATATTCCTAGGAAGGGTATAACTCATGGGAATTTGGTGACCTTCACAAGTGTGGTAGGTGAGGTATAAGCACTAAAGAGGAAGAAAGCGGTTAACACAAATTCTCTAAAACTAAGAGGTCAGGCTTCCCCTGGTGGTGCAGGCAGTTGAGTGCCATGCTGTAAAGCTGTCCGCAGCCTCTGCAGCACCGGTTCGATCCCAGCCAGCTGGCAAGTATCCCACATGGCACTGCAGACCTCTCCTGTCTCACCGCTGCTCCCCTCAGCAGTGTATTTTGTCAGTCTGCCTGTTCTGTTCCCTGCTCTGTCTCTGGTGAATCCGCTCACCCTTCCGCACATCTGGCCTATACCCCGGTTCTTGTACAAATAAATAAATCAATCTTTTAAAAAAAAAAAAAAAACAACTAAGAGGTCATTTCTCACTCACTGATCTTTCCTAACTGTATCTCATTGTGGCTATGATGTGGTAGGATATTCTTTCACGTTTTGCAATAAATTTATGATGTCAAGAAATATTAGTGACAATGATGGTTGATCATACTGCTTGGCCTGATGGAAGGCCTAAACTTTTCTTGTGGAATTTTCCTTTTCACATGCTTTATCTTGATAGAATTAAACTCCAGAATCATTAGCACTTGGTGTGGAACAATGACAAGAGTTGATGTGTTCATAATTCCCTACCCTTGATCTGTTAGCTGAATCTAGAGCCCCTTTGATAATGAAAAAAGAGGGAACACCAAGGGCTGGAGCCAATGTTTTTTATCACTTTCTTGGTCCATATGTAGAAGGAAGGGCCTAAAAACTATCGTATCATCAATAACTGAGTTTAATGCAATAATCCCCAACAGGCAACTGAGGAATGCATTGCTCAAAAGATTTAAATTGTTCATGCAGGCCTCCCTGGTGGTGCAAGGGGCTAAGCACTGCACTATGAAGCAGTCCACAACCTCCACGGCACAAGTTCAATCCCCGTCCAGCCAGGGAGAAACCCACATGGCGAGGCAGAGCTCGCCTGTCTTGCCTGTGGCTCCCCTCAGCAGTGTACTTCAGTTAGTCTGCCTGTTCTGTTCCCTGCTCTGTCTCTGGTGGATCCTCTCACCCCCTGCATCTCATCTCTGGCCTGTACCCCAGCTCTTGTATACATAAATAAAATAATCTTTAAAAAATTATTGTTCACACATACTCAATGAATAATCAGAATAACTGGATTTTAAGTTTAGTCTGTGTTCTTATCTGTACAATAGGAAAAACATATTGAACAACCTCATGGGAGAAAACACATTCAAAACATAGCACAATGATGTGTATAAGAAGTTTCCTCTAAGTATCACTTCATGCCACTAGCTATTAGCAAATGGCAAGGACCAAAGAATTCAAAACAATCTAGAAGCAAATTGGTATCAGGTTTTCCCCAGATGTTAGAAACAAAAGTAACATGAATAAATTAAGTCCTTTGTTGACACATTTCAGAGCATATGGCTGTGAATTCTAAGGTTAGTCATCTCATACTCAAACCAGCACTTACTGTTGAAGATGCCACTTAGGAAGTGATGGTTTGGTTTAAAATATCACTCATTCGCTAATGCAAAATCTGTCCATTTTTCTACCTTGTAAACATGGAAGCTCATAAGTTAAGCTGATCAGGAGATTAATGCACTACAGCATGACATAAAAGCAAACGTGCAAAAACTTACCATGTTCATCCTTCTGTCTAAACTCTGTAGTATCATGCTTAGAGTCTAGAAGGAATAAGAGCATGTATTAAGTATTTTTGTCCATTACTTTACAGTACACATCTATGTGTGTATTTAGACAAATGACAGATAGATAGGTAGATAGATAGATAGATAGATAATAGATACATACATACATAGGTGGATAGATGATATGCCAACATATAGGAGGGAGCTTTAAAAACATAGCCCCACAATTCCATAAATACATGCTATGATTCCACATAATTCAATAACTTTAACTCCTACACTCTGTTTCTGAACAAGAATTCATTAAGCACATATTTTTCTCACAACTGGAGTAGGGCCCAACACCATCTCATTTTCCTTCAATATTCATACTGCCCAGAACAGTACATACCACAAAGTAGGTGTTTAGCAAATACTATTGAATGGAAAAGAAAAAAATGAACTGACTCTTTAGAGTTTTCAGCACACATGACTGACTGACATGAAGGTTGCCATCGAAATGAATTAGTCTAAGCCTAGCTTCTACACCAGGATCTTAGAGTATTTGAATAAGTCTGGTTTAGGCAAATTTCCCATGTAAGCAAAAAAAAAAAAGTATATAACTTCAAATTGCATGTATCTACCATAGCCTCAACTCATGCCCATGATTTTCTGGAATTGTGCTTATCAACATGACAATAACATTTTGCAAAGCTAATGCCTGTTTGGTTCAATGCTACACATACATCATCTCACTGAATCCCTCTGTTGAACTGAAGTGAGATGTATTTTCAAGAGTTCCATGTTACAAAAAAAGAAATAAGTTTACATAGTAAAAGTTAATTGTCAAGAATCATGCAGTGATTGGCAGAACCAGCATTCAAATGATCATTGTGGGTGATTAAAATATGAAGAGAATTAAAAATAATCCATTAAAATTAAAAATATTAAATTAAAATTAAATTAATAGAATTAAAGATTAATAGAATTAATTCATTCTAATTAATAGAATTAAAAATAATCCATAGAAATAAAACTAATCTTTAGAGAGATAACATAATTCCACCATATTTCCTTATAAGCAAGTGACTTTTTTATATTACAGTAGCTTATCATTTAACACAATCCTTTCCAGGAGTAGAAAGGTAGGTTTTACTGTTAGAGAAATAAAACCTGAGTTGGCAGTTGCATTTATCTATAATGAAAAAAATGGAAATGGCAGATGTACATAAAAAGTTTCAAAAATTTCAAGATATTTTAAAAAGATAATTGACTATTGGATGGAGGAAAACAGTAACAAGAGTAGCTTTGGTTTATCCTTTTCCTACTAGATGTGTTCTGCCCATGTGAATATAGTTTTGTATGTGATTTGACGCACTCAATACGATCTTTTTCAGGTGTGCTGTAAAGGGAAATGTTTGAGCTATAGGCTTTGGGTGAATCGCAAGAATATAAATATTAGTAAAACAGTGTTTAGATGTTAAGTATCTTAATGTGTCTTTAAAGTCTTTTTTCTATTTCTTAAAGTGACTTTGTTCATTAAAAGAAAAAGAAAAGTCTCTTATTACCATGTTGGTTGAGGCAAAAACAATCCATTTTTCATAATAGAATTTTCATAATAAAATCTATGTATCCTAAGTTCTCCTTTCCAAACAGGGTGATCAAAAAAATTAGAACTGGTTAGTTTTTTCTCTTGTCAAAAACACTTCACTGATTTGTGATGTTATGTTATAGTTTTACCTTTTTTTCAGAAACAAAAACAACAAAGAGTTTCCAAGAAACAAAATAAAACTGCTAGACCAAATTATTCTTTTTTGTTGTTGTTGAGACATGATCTGCTCCCTCAGATGAACATGATTTGTAATAACTCATTTTTTGATTTACATTGAGTATAGCAAGGTTGAAGTGAGAGTGATTTTGCTTGCAAAGTAGAACATTTCTAAAAGGCCTATAATTGTTCTTCTTTCCTGATCAGTAAATCATCAAAAGTGGAATCTCTTTTTGAACATTTG